GGAATGCCGTGTTTCCTTCCCTTTGCAGTGTCTTGCCCTTGACTGTGTTACAGTGACCAACTCATGGAAGGGTAGTATTTTCTTCGTTTCATTCTGTCAGTGAGGTCATCTGTCTACTCTCTGATTCACAGCATTTCAGTTAAGTAATCCATCTCATAAAACCCAGCATGGTGGTTCTCTCTGTCCTGTCTGGTTCGAAAGCCCATGCTGATTACTTGAGGGGAAAGGAGATGCGTACACACAAAAAATAAAAGTTGCAGAAAAGGAATCTCGCTGAATCCTCAGCTGCTGGAGTACCATCTTTTGCAGATGGCATTGATATATCCACTTAAAACACGGACCAAAAGCAGAACAAAGCTAATGCACGTTCGACCAACCAAAGCTGACACCAGACAACTTGCAAACGTGGACTAAAGATCCTGACAGTCTCACCGGTGCGTCTGGTCTGGAACTAAGGGCGAAGGCTGCTCATCTGCCTGGAGCACTGGGAAATGTGTTATTTTCCTCTCTGGCTTGCAACTTGGTTGAAATACTGGCCCATCAGTCAGTTTATACTGGTGTACTGTTCTTGGGGAGGGGAGCACGAAGCTTACACAGGCTTTCCTTGGTCTGCTGTGGAGTTGACTGATCTGGAGCTCAGCTGTTGTTCCGTCTCAGGTTAGCCGTATGTGTCCTTCAGGTCAGAAACAGATGCTTCTTCTGTGAGGAGACAGGTTCTCCATGCAACAGTCGTAATCTAAATTTTAGTCAGTTTTCCCTAGGAAGCCCTGTGAGCAACCATGTTTTGCTGTTGGATGTAAATTTGAATTATAGAATCACAGAATCATTTAGGTTGGAAAAGCCCTTTAAGATCATCCAGTCCAACCATTAACCCAACACTGCCAAGTCCACACTAAACCAATTAAAGGTAGACTAAACCATGTCCCAAAGTGCCACGTCTACCCTTTTTTTGAACACTTCCAGGGATGGTGGCTTATGAAGGTGTTTGCCCCTGGTAAATAATCTTGAAAGCAGCTTTCCCTCAGAAGTCCAGTGGTGGTGTCAGGTGCATCTTCATCTTGTTTTTTAAATAATCTTACGCTGCATCATGTCTTCCCCTTGTGTGGTGACACTGGCCTTGTTCTTCTCTCCTGCCAGACCCCTTCAGGATGCACAGAGGGGAGAATCTGCCTGATTTATCATTTCCGACTGACATGAAGAATGTGCCGCTGTTCACAGACCATGTTGATGCTTCCAGAGACATTCATGGTGAGTTCGTCCTCGGCATTTGCCCCTGATGGTCAGGTTTTGGTGTTTTCTCTATTGATTTTCATGTACTGAAAACTATTAAGCTGGTAAGTGTACAGACTATATAATCTCTTCACATGTTTCTTAAAAAAATTTTTTGCATGTGCCTAAAGCCATTCCAATAGCTACTTCCAGGAAGGTTTTTTTTGAAGTATATTTAGGCAGAAGGAGATAGGACATCTAGACAAGTTGAGTTGAAGCAGGAGTTACCAACGGCTCTTGCCTTCATGGCTAGAAACCAAATACGCATGAACTTTTTCCACAAAGTGGTCTTCAGTGTTTGGACTATTGGAGTTTAAGCAGATACTAACAAGAATTCATGGGAGCAGAAGCAGAAAGCGAAAGGGAAATAATTTGCCTGTGTCTACTGTCTTATACCTTGTTAAAAAATTATATATGCGCACATAATTTACAATGCAGTTTGTAAGGGTGAGCTAATTGAGAGAGTTGCTTACAAACTTTATCTAAACTGCTCATGAGCAGAACAGGATAGTTTATTTTCCAAGCATTGTATAGACTTTAAATTTTGGAGGGGAGTCATCAGGGTTAGCATAGTGGTTAACAAATGGTCTTTTTGTTTCATTAGCACCACATGGATCTATGATGATACCTGAACAACCTTTCTTGGGGCCCCTGTATTCTCCTGCAGAGGCTCTAGACCCATCAGCCTTCATTGGCCTGGATTCAACTGCAGAATTTCTACAAGACAAAGCAGGTGAGAAACAGATGTTTGTCTTGCTAGCTGGGCTTGAAGGATATGCAGCTGGAAGATTTTTGTGTATTAGTCCTAAAGAATCTTGGTGGGGGAGTTGATAAGTAACGTGAGTCAAGATTAGAAAGCATCCTACTGGCAATGCCAGCTCTTGGTTCAGTGTGGATGTTCTGAATATGTTAGATCACAGAATCACAGGATGGTTGAGGTTGGAAGGGGCCTCTGGAGGTCGTCTTGTCCAACCCCCCTGCTCAGGCAGGGCCACCTAGAGCCCGTTGCCCAGCAGAATTGAGCGAAGAACCTGCTCTGTCAGGTCCTGAAGTCTGTGCTGGTTATAACTCTTTCCTGATGCAAGCTTTCACTAACAATAATCACAGAAGAACATGGTGGTGTGGTACCATTCTTAAAGGGAACTGAAAAGTTACCCAAGAGTGAGCTTGCAAAACAGCTGGGTCAGTACCTTCAGCTGAAAAAATAAAGCAGTGCTAGTGTCAGTGGCAGGACTAAATGTGTTTGTTTTCCGTAGTGCCTGAAGAACATTGGATGGGAGCTCAGCATGATGCGAAGGGACCAGATGCCTCTTTCTTTGTTGAGCCACCAGGTAAAAATAGTTTTGACTTGATCTGCAGGAACCGTCTATAGACAGTTTCTGAACAGCAGAAGCAGAGCTTCTCTCCTTGTCTGCCTTTTCAAGAAACACGAGGCTGTAATGGAGTGAAGTGGGATCTGACCAAGAAAAGCACTGTTTCTGGTTCTCAAATCAATTGAGAATAGAAACATGTGTTTTAGAGAGATGTTACTTAACATGCATTTTTCTGGTTTACTGCTGTAAGGGGTGGGGAGGACCCTGCATTTTATAGACTTTACTATACAGTTATAGACTTTACTATAGTTGTATTTTTTAGGTTTATTTCTAATTTAGGGTAGCAAACTTAATATAGGCAATTCCAAGCCCAACCAACAGTAGATATTAGTGGCATGCCCTTTTGGGGGCATATCATGCAGCAGGGCTTTCGCCCGCTGAAAGCATGCCCTTTCATGGGTTTTGGGGAATAAAGTTAGCAGATGTAGATGTGTGCAAAAAAATATGTTCAGCAGCAAGTTCTGTGGATTCCAGACTCTGTCTCCATTCTGTGAGTCTCCATTACAGTGGAAGGTACTGTAAATTCCAGTTGGGATCTGTGTTCAAGCATTACTTGACACTAAAATAATAAATGGCGTGAATAAAATTTACCCTTGAGAGGAAACTCTAAGACTGTTTACTAAGTTTACTGCTGTCAAGGATTCCAGTCTTTGTACACACTAAGAGTCAAATCTGCCGACTTGAGTGCTAAGTCAGAGCACTTATGTTTACTGCTTCTAAAGGTCGGTGCAGCTGAGGGCACCAACATAGTTTTGGCTCATGCATAATCAACAGAATTTTAACTAAATTCTAATTGCAAACCTATGTACTCTGTCCAATTATCCTTAGATTATGGTTACAGTTCAATCTTTGAAGCTCCCTTGAGTAAATAATTCCATTGCGGTTGCATGTATATTATGATATTTGATCCATAATGGGATCTTTATTGCTGATTTTGGTGAGCAAGTGAAGAGGAGAGTAGTTTAACACTGGTTCTAGGTAGAAAGTATTTCTGGAGCTGGTGGCCCTACCTAGGGCTCAGGGTAGAACTGGGATGCTTTGTAACTGAACTTGCTCAACTTCGTCACAGCAATTGCTTCTCTCAAGATACAAGTGTTTGCCTAAGTATTGCACAAACTAATCTTCTGAAAATTGATGATAAAAACCAATTCTGTTTTTGTCCGACCCGACTGGGACGCTGAAGCGGGGGAGCTCGCTCATCAGGGCTGCTGCAGGCAGCACAGACCAGGCAGCACCTTGAGAGGTGATTCACGTCCTGGCAACTCCAGAAGAGACGGCTGTTTGCTAGGATCTGAGCGCTTAATCAAAATTCATTTTGTATGCCCAGTGCCCCCCACAGTGACTGAAGCAATAAAGCCGAATTTGCCGGAAAGCCCTGCAGCGGTGGCTCCTGGTTTCGTTCCTGCTGCGGTAACCGCATCCCCAGGAGAGGCTGACGCTACCGATGGACCAAAAGGTGCGGCATCAGGTAAAGCTGCCCAGCCTAAAGATTGGGGCTGGGTTTAGGCCCTCCATGAGCACGCTGTAATGGTGGAAAAAGACGTGGGCCTGCCTCTTCGGAGGGAAGTGCAGCAAGGTATTAACAAATTCCGTTGTGACAGAAGGTTTAGGTTACCTGAGTTGTGTTGGTGAGAAAGAGCGAGTCTACTCGACTTTTCAACTCTCGTGTCACAGTCCAGGAACTGATTTAATGACACTTTACTTTCTCAAAATATTAGCTCCAGAAAAATGGTAAGGTGTGTCAAGAAAGTGGTTATACCACGAGTCTGATGCTATATACGAATACCTTGAAAACTCTCGGTTTTAAAGTCCCTTTAAAGCAGAGTTTTTAAGGTATTTCTGTACAGCATCAAACTCGCGCTACATTTTGCAGCGGTCTTCAAAAAAAAAAGGGGAGGGGGCAAAACCAAATGAAAGCTAGTGCCTAATGGATCTTTTTGTTTGGTTCACTGGAATATTGGCTTTAAATGGATCCTGAAGTACTATTTTAAAACAGACTTTTTCCATTTTTCTAATTTATTTCCTTTTGCAGCTTAAGTATCTAATTTAAGATTTAATATGTTTTCCATTGTTTGGGGAGGATATTTTTAGATGTGACTCAAACAATCAGTAGAAATTTTTTTTTTTAACATCTGCTCAGCAGTATATCTGACATGTTCAGGTCACCATGCTGCATTAGAGAGTATGGGTAGTGCTTGGGGCTGTTGAAATTAATAGCTACAGAGGAGAAATCTAGTGCTTCTGGCTTTTGATAATTTGTGAAAACTTGCCTCTAGACAGCTGAAATGCTAAACTAGAACTGACCGAAAAAATCCTTTAAGGGGATCTTACGAAAATGCTAACTTAAATGCAGAGTTCGATTGTGCTGTGAACTGCCAAATGTTATTTTGAAACTAACAGCTCAGTGTTTAGTAGATATGATGTGAAAAATGAATGAGGCCAAGTTGGGCGTGAAAGAATAAAGGGCAGTTTGTGATTCACTGGATGGCAGTGTCTTTTGTGTCAAGAGTGCCAATGCTTCTGCTCAAGTTGCAGCACCATACCACCCGTGAACAGCATAAATGATATTTAAAATGAAGTGCATGTGGCTCTGGAACATTTCAGGACTCTTTCCGCTGTTGGAATACACAGCTGGGCTCATAAAGGTGACACCAAAAGTTTCTGTGTCCTGCTATATAGGAAAACCCCCCTCGTTACGATTCCTGTATATATTCTGTTGGAATGTGTTGCTCGCAGTGGATCCAGCAGCCCTGGTCTCTTGCCAGCTACGTAGCATCAGGTAGTTTTTAAGTGAAAACAAGGCATCTTTTGGCTGATGTATGTTGGGAGCAGACGGATGTCCTAACGCTGTAGTCGAGGATAGAAAACAAGGCACATGAGGCTGTAGTAGGAAAAGCATTGGGTGCATTGAGGAGCGTCAAAGACTGGTACAACTTGAGTGCGCTGGCGTAAGGGGGGGAGTAAGTGATGCTGAAAGACAAGAAGAAAGACAGGGAGCGAAAGCCCTGTCTTCTCTAGTCATAAAACCACACTGTCGGGTATTTCCATTCTGTATTTTTGTTGATTTCTGTGATCTGTGTTCCTGTAGCAGATGCAGCGTGTGTTCCTGCCTCAGATGTCATGTCCGTTTCTGCAGAACAAGCTGGGTCCGTTCTTGCAGGAGACACCAAGCCTCCTCAAGCTCTGGATGCTGGATTTCCACCTACAGCAGAAGCCAGCCCTCTTCAGGCTGTGGATGTTGGGTTTGCCTCTGCACCAGTAGCCGAGCCTCCTAACGCTGTCAGTGCTGCATCCGCCCCAGTGGCGGATACTGGCTTCACCCCAGCAGCAGATGCCGCGGCCCATTATGCTATGGATTTGGAGTTTGCCCCAGCAGAAGATGCAGGGTTTGCCCCAGCAGCAGATGCGGAATCTCACCATGCTATGGATTTGGTGTTTGCTCCAGCAGCAGATGTGGAATCTCACCATGCTATGGATTTGGTGTTTGCCCCAGCAGAAGATGCAGGGTTTGCCCCAGCAGCAGATACTAAATCTCATCAAGCTATGGATTATGAGTTTGCACCAGCAGCCGATGCAGAGTTTGCCCCTGCAGCAGAAGTCAACCATCATCATGCTATGGATTCTGGGTTTGCTCCTGTAGCAGAAGCCAAGCCTCTTCCTGACATGGATTCTGGGTTTGCCTCTGCAGAAGCTAAACCTGTCTCTGCAGCTGACACCAAGGCTGCTGCACCTGAAGAGCTGATGACATCCGAGTCTTCTGTTGAGCAAGACAAGTCACCCTTCGACAAGTCTCCCGCAGGTGAGCGCGTATGCCTGAAAGCTTCCTTCAGGCTTGAAATAGCTTGGCAAGCGGTGGGAGAAGGCCACACTAAGCTGGCCACAATAAGCTGGCACCAGCACTCTTGGTAGCGCATCGTGATGGCTACGCAGATGCACAATTGTCTAAGACTGTCAAGTAAAAAGCGTATTTTTTTAGTAGTTAAGATTATGATATGCCTTGCACAACCTTGCGCTAAACATCTTAAGCAGAGCTCAGTTCTGCTGTCAAGATACAGACAGAGGAAGTGCTTCGCCAGGATTTTTTGCTTCTAAAATGTAAAAGTAGAATAGCTTAATGATGGTTTTCTTTCTTTTTTTTACTTGGCATTCTTAGCAGTGATGTATGTTTTTTAGGACAGCCATAGAGACATTCAGTTCATCCCTGTTAGTATGTACTTTCGTATCACTGTCATCCTCAGCATACACCGAAATCTCTGCGGATCCTGTAGGACGCAGTGGTTTTGAACAAAGCTTCTTATCGTGAAAATAGTTTCTGAATAGACTGACAGGGTTTGTTGATAATTTGGTGACATTTCTTTGGAATGACTATAGGCGTTGAAATGGCGAGGCAGGAATTTTGGCTTTTTCCATGTGGGGGACAATGGATGTTCTGTGCTGCACAGATTTCTCAAAGGACACTATCCTTTCAGAGAGAAAATGACCATCAAAATGTAACAAATAGTACTGGGCAGAGGCAGTATATGTGGATTGATTGCAGAAAGAGTTGGAGCGAGATATTTTGTTCCTTACTTTCTAATAATCTTTAGTTTAATGATAAGAATACATTTCAAAAGAGAGAAGTTTAATAAAAAAATCCCTGCTAGAATGTAGTAACTGAGGCATAGGTGCGTGAAAGAAAGAGTAAATACCGGGCAATACAGGAAGATTTGCTTTAGCAGAACTCTTAGGCTTTCAGGAGTGGAGAGCTGCTAGAAAGTGCCTAAAAAGCAGGTGGGGTTTTGGGGTTTTTTTTGAAAGTGAGGAAAACCTTAAGTTTCTTGCGGAAGATAAGAATTAGGTGAGGAAGTGGTTTTTATCTTGCTTAATCTGATCTAAATTAAAAATAATACAAATTTTTATTCTTTGTGTTCTGTTTGCAGAAGCAACTGCAAATGTGGAACAAGAATTGAAAGTCCCAGAAGCTTGTGTTGATCTTTTGGAGAAAGCTGAAGACAGCAGACCACCTCCCAGCCACCATGAGGAGCATCTTCCAGAACAGACGAACCATCTTTCAGAACCAACAGGTGAGAAATGCAAACCAGGGTATGAAACTGGAGCCAGCACTTCACTATCAGCTAATTCTGCCCCACCACCTACATTCTTTCTCACAGACACCGGTCTCCTGCCTTTATGAAGGAAAACGCAACAAAGGTTTAATTTCGAGAAGGTTATTAGTGTGTGCTAGCATGGGGACTGTTATAAATAGAAGACAGTCTTAACATTTCAAATTACCATCATATAACTTGTTTTTTTCTTCCTCATTCATAGTTGTTGTACCAATGTCTGTCATAATTCTTTTTTCTAATTTAAATTTAAATAACATTAATTACATATAGAACTGTTCTCCAATGTAATTATGTCTTCCAAATTAAAACTTGTTATAATTATGTGTAGCTAGGAATTTTGTAGCATCTGCATGAATATGTTCTAAGGTATATATGAATACTAGATGATTAGCATTAGATAGGGACTCCAGACTGATAATGGAGTATGTTCTGGATTTGAGTTCCAGTGGGAAGCTAGTATAGTCTGAATTTGGTTGATACAAAGGGGGGGACACCCCAAAACCCCAAACCCTCACCGTGTGCTTAAGCCCCAAGACAGTCTTTGCTTCCTGTTTTACCTCCACCTTGGCATGTCTGCCAAAATATAAAATTGCTGCTTAGAACGGGGTTGTGAGGAGATAATACATAGTAGACTACCGTGTCTTATAAAACTTCATTCCTATTAAAAATAAAATAAACCCTATACCCTTTCCAAGGGCTTGCATTTAAACTGCAGGTTGCCTGTCTCCGTAAGAACTGAAGCATTCTGTTCATATTTTTCATATTTCAGTTCCAGTGGAAGCAAAAGAAGCTGTTGCACTAGAAAATAAAGACCTCCTTCCAGAAAAATCTGTTACTCCTGTGGATGTTACCATTACAGAGAAACAAAAGGAGGAGGCTGAACACAACCATGTCCAACATGCAGAACCTCAGCAAGAAAAAACTCTGCAAGAGCCCACAGGTAGAATATAAATAATAATTCAATTTTAGAATGGAAATGTCCTCTGTGAACTATTCACCTTTTACTGACTGCATTGCCACTTGAGCAAGCAGAAATCTTTTTTGCACCAAGCAGCTGTGCGGTGCTTTGCATTCATCGGTGATTCTGCTTGCACTTTGCCTCTAATCCCTGCCCTCTTAAATACTCTTTTCCCCTCCTTGTTCACTGGACTAGAGGCCCAAATATGGGTGCTGCTAGTACTTTATCACTGGGACTGCCTTATCTTTTCTGCTGTAGAATTGAAAAGCTCACCATCTTTTTGCCGTTACCGCTAGCTCTTTATTTTGGTATTAAAAAGGACCATTAATTCTTATTACACTATTCCTAGTGAAGACCTCCTTCCAAATTGAGTTTTGTAATTACCAAAGAAAAATGTAATTTTTTTTTTTTTCCTGCTCCACTAACCCAGCCTCTCCGATGAGCTGTTATTGCTTACACTTGTGACTGGAGGCTGATTTGTGGGCCAGGGCTGACTGACAAACGACTGATGCTCTCCTTAAAAATCGGTGCCTTGTAGCTAAGGAAACCTAGCGCTGCCTGTAACGGCGTACAGCAAGTGACTCCTGTTGCAGAGGTTCTGCCTTCCGCTGCTTCCACCGTGGGTGCTGTGGGAAGCTCGGCTCTCTTGCTCCCCCTTCCCCGTTACGCCCCTTCCCTAGTCTCATCTTTCCACTGATCTTCTATTTTCACGTTTTGGAAGGATGCCAGTTAGGGATATAAAAAGTGTATCTGTTTTCTTGTCTTGCTAAGACAAAATGGATCCTTAATGCATTTGTAAAAAGAGATAGCATGTCCTTACAAGAACTGTTGCTTTTCGGTGGGGTAAGAGCATGTATCGGGAATTCTGTCTTTTTAAATAGCATTGACGTACTTATCAGTAGTAGTTTAAATAGGTTTTGTGTGTAAATGTCTATCCCAGCCCTACTGAGGTGGATTTAGAATTAGCGTGGTATCAGTGCTGGAAAATTCTGCATATATGACTGTATGGACTGTTTTAGATGGGTAAAATCACATATATAGTATATTTATTTTTTTAAAAAAAAAGCAAATAGTTGCTTCGATGTTTGAGGAGGCTTCCTGTATTCCAGGTCTACCTACTGCACAAATAAGGCAAGCTAACAAATCAAGTGAACGCAGGTTTGGCAGAGCAAAACCTGCACCAGTGCCTATTGCAGATGTGCCAGAGGAACGTCTGATAGGTCTCCCACAACAGAAGAGTACTGCCCCAAAAGTAGACCCCTATTCTGTAGCGGAACTTGGATGTGTGGCTGGAACATCCCCTCGCACTAGGGTTTCACATAAAAAGGCAACTGAGCAGCCGTCCAGTGTGCTGTCGGAGTTTGTGGAGAGCTGCAGAGATGTACCAAGGGAGAGCTGGGATTTGGAAGGTTCCCTGGCCATTGTGAAGAAAAAGAAAAAGAAACCAAAACAAAAGAGAAACCAGCTGCCAAGAGCAATGGAGTTCTGGGATGAAAACGTAACAGTCTCAAAAGCTCCTAGAAACTCTCCATTTGCTGCTGAATTGCAAAAACCAGATGTCCGTCCCGTAACGCCTGCTGAAGCTCGCAAAGAGCAGTCGGTTGCCTCAGGAAGCAGAGCTTCAGATATGCCAACCGATGCTAAAATAATAACTGCAAGTCATATCCTGGAGGAGCAAAATGCCTTCTCAGTGCCAGCACCAGCACAGCGGGCCCCAAAACCCAGCATGCCGCTAGAATCTGTGTTGGATGCAAAAAATGGGGCCGTCAGGAAAACAGAAGAAATGAGAGGTGACGGTTTGATGCTGCAGTCTGAAGGCAAAAGAAAAGAGGTTCCCGCGCAGCAAGTAGGCAAGACTAAGGTGGGGGAATCTGTTACAGCAAAGGTGCCAACCGAGCCTATGGAAAGAGATTTTCTTGATAAAAATGAGAAGAGGGAGTATAAAGAGTCAAAATGTGCTGACCTGACGCCATCTCTTTCGGGAGCGAACAATCTAAGCAAAGTAGAAACTCCTTTAGAGACCAAACCTTCAGAATTGCTCCTTTCTGATAAAGGTAAGGAGGCGAAATGCACATCTCCCGGGCGTGAAGCACGCAGCGACAGCGTCCACCGCGAGCTTCAGCCTTCCAGTGGGTCGCTGGAAGCAGCAGCAAAGAAAAGAGGCAGTTGTGAAAAAAGCAAAGGGCTTGAAACGGAATCCCTCAAACAGCCCGCTCTTCTAGAGCCCGCGGCCCCGTCGGACAAGCCTCCGCACGAGCCAGAGGCAGCTGGCGAAACTAAACCAGCGTCCTCCGATAAATGCGCGCCCGTTAGCGCGGAGGGAGTAACGAAGACTCCAACAGATACTGCTAAAACGCCTGCTACACCATCAGTTTTACCAAAACCTGCGGAAGTCACTGCTTTGCGAAACAGAAAGGCTGACAATTTTTCAGAGCAGCCATTTCTTCTGTCGGCTCAGGCTGATGCAACCAACCATCCCGCCTCTGCAGAGGCGGTGGACAGAGCGATGGTAGCAGATTCCCCTGACAGAAACAAAGGGAAAGGATTTGCTGCGTTAGAGCAGCAGACTGGAAAAGATCCCAATATTGCACATGGGATGGACAGACCTAAAAAAAAGCGTGGTGAAGGGAAGGTAAAAAAAATCAAAAGCTTCTCTGAGCAGACGATGCTTGCGGAGGATGTAAGCAGATTTACTGACGGAGTGAGGACAGCTGAGGCTGTAAAAGAAAGGACTTTCCCTGATAAAGGCAGAGGTTTTGCTGCACGAGGACCTCCGTCAGTAAGCATTACACACGCTCATCCTGCAGACAAGCCAAAAAAAAGAGGTAGTGATGGAAGAAGTAAAAAAGGCGACAGAAGTTTTTTCCAGCAGCCTTTTCTTGAGAGTAAGATGGACCCAAGCAGTTTTCCTGATGTAATCGATAAAACTAAGGAAGTTAGTGTTAGTGATAAAGGCAGAGAGAGAGGCTGCATTACTGCTGAGTGTTTTCAGGAGAACACATCAGACGTAACTAAAATGCAAAGGTCAATTGAACTGGTAACAGAGAAGCCTAAAGAAAGCGTTGGGAAGAATGAAATGGCTGATTTGGGTGCTGTAGACCAACCTTTCCTGCTGGAGGGTAGGAGAGAGGAAGCAAAGCATCTTGCTGTGGCTGACACGATCAGCAAAACAGAAGAGGTAAATTTGGTTAGTAAAGGCAAAGAGGCTGGAATCACTGCTGCAGGTGAATCAGTTGTGATAAGTTCTGATGCCGCACTGGTGGCAGACAAACCTAGAAAGAGGTGTAGTGATGGGAAAAGAAAAAAACCTGAAAAAAGTCCTTCGGGGCAGGCAGCTGTTCTGGATGCTGGGGTGGAAACAAGCAGTCTTCCAAGCAAAGAGAAAGTGGCTGGAAGCACAAAAGAAATGACCTCTGATAAAGATACGGTGTCTGGTTTTGAAAGAGAGCTTTTGCTGGAGAATCTGACAGGTATAACCAAAGAGGTGCTGGAAAAGCCTGAAATACAGGCTGGCAGTAGAAGTTGTTTCTCTAATCAGCCGGTTCTTTCAGGTCATAAAATAGAGACAGCAGAGCCAGAAATAGTCAACACTAAAGAAACTTGGCCCGTGAATAAAGGTAAGGAACCAGATAGATCTGAGCCTCTCCCAGAGCACAGGGCAGATGCGGCCGTGGCACACAGTCCCGCCACGGAACTGGTGATGGACAAGCCTAAGAAAAAAAGTAGAGAAGTGAAAGGCAAAAAGGCTGAAAACAGTCTTGAGCCCTCTGTTGCACTGCGTCCAGGCAACATCCCTGCAGTAGGTGAAGAGGTGGGAAATACTAAACACGCTCAGTCGTTTGATAAAGGCAGAGAGACTAATTCCAGTACTTCAGGGAGTCTGCTAGGTGACCTAACTGATACTGCTAAAGTACCAGCTCCTGCTCTACACCCAAGTAGTAAAGAGAAAGGCAAAAAGGTGGAGGCTAACCTGCAGCAGCCATGTCTTCTGGAGCATAAAGGAGGTGCAGAGATGTTTCCTCCTCGGCACATGGAGACAAGTGACAAACCTGAAGCAGAAAGTCCCGCTCCTTGCAGCACGGGGGGTGGACTTCCTATCCTAGAGCATCCAGCAGTGGCAGATCACACTTTGGCCACAGTTACTGATAGATCTAAAAAGAGGGGTTATGATGGAAGTAGTAAAAAGGCTAAAAATGCCTCTGAGCAGCCTGGTTTTCTAGAGCCAAGAACAAACAGGAGAGAAGTACAGCCTCCCGTAGGATCGGAGATGGAATACGGAATGGAAGACATGGATTTGGTAGATGAAAACAGAAATATTAAAAACTTTCCCATTGGCCCTCAAATGGTTTGGGATAATAAAGGAAGCGGCTTTGAGTCCTTTGCTCAGACTGCAGTAAGCGGCTCTGCTAACACTGGCAATGTTTCTTCTGGCTTCCCAAAGCAGGCGGATGAGGGTGCGAGAAGGAAGGGGCTTCCTCCTCCCGAAGCGGTGGCAGAGAGCAGCAGCAGCAGCAAAGAGCCTGCATCGGGTGCTGAGGAGGAGACACGGGCGCAGAAGTCGTGCAAGCGACCCGTCGGTGTGGGAGACGAAGAGCCTGGAAAAGACGTTTCAAAGGAAGGTGGTAGAACCACAGAGGCTGGTTCCCAGGATGGGGGCGAGGCAGGTCAACCACTTCCTTTGGACCATTCAGTTAAACAGGACGTTAAGTCAAAGAAAGACGGAGTTCACCTTTCTCCCGTTGCAAAGGTGGATGATAAAGAAATAAGAACCACTGATAAAAACCGAAACGCTGACGGCGCTTCCTCAGACCTCCCTCAGAAGGTGGCAGGTTCAAAAAATAGGCCAGCTCTTGTAGATGCCAACGGGACGGAGAGACGCGAAGCAGCCATCTCCAAAGGGACGGAGAGACGCGAAGCAGCCATGGGCGAGCGGGACGCTGGGTGCGCTTCCCCAGAGCTCGCGGCGGCACCCGAGAGCGGGGCAGGAGCTGCCGTGTCGCAGGCTGCGGCAGAAGCGCTGGCGGAGGGTAAAGCTGGAGAGGCTGAGCTGGGTGGAGGCAAGAAGAGCGCGCAGAGCTCGCTGAAGTACCCGGGCAGTCTGGACAATAAAGCGGTTGAAGCAGAGCATGCTGGTGTAGATCTGACAGCTGCCCAACCAACCAAAGCAAGTCCCAAAGATGAGGAGAGAGGTCATTCCCAGCCTGCAGAAGAGGGTGCTGCTCGCGGTGGGGAAGCTCACCTGAAGGATGCTCCGGCGTTGAAGCCTGAAGGAGATAAACCTGAAGCCGCCACTAAAGAGAAAGACGAGGAATGTGAACAAAAAGCTGTGAAGGAGGCGAAGAAAGAGCGCGTTAAAGCAGCAGAACAGATCAAAGGCTACATGAGACCCACCAAGTCAAGAGGGGTGCCACCTCTGCCAGCCAGGTCTGCTGCTCCAGAGCGAGAGAAGCAAAGGCAGCCGAAACCCGCTGGTATGAGCCGGCAGCGGCAAGAACAAGGTGTGTGCGTGTGACTTGAGCTAGCAGCAGTAATCCAGGCAGCTTGCGTGCAAGGCCCTGCTATCTGTCAGTGCGTTGGCATGAATCCGTGGTCGTTAATCCTGTGTGGCACAAGCGAGTGTGGCATGACTGGGTTTTTGGCTGATCTTAAAAGGCTGTTAGTTCTGCTTGCCTGTCTCACAGTGCTAATTCCCAAAGTTTGCAGGATTGACAGCTTGGTCTAAGTTCCAGAACTCTTGATTATTGTTTTTTTATTATTATTATCCATTCAGAGTTAATTTTACATACACATTGTAGAACACTTAAGTAAAGGTGCACTTTTTGGTGTTAAGTTCCATTAGCTTCTTGTCAGCCGAGGCTGAAAGTGACCCTCGGCTGCGGCGCAGCGGTGAGCATCGCGGTCGCTGCATGGCACCGTGTGCCACTGGCGGGCGGGGAGCGGGGTGTTCCCGTGGGAGATCGCTCTCACCTTGCAGGGTTTGGCGTTAATCCTGCCTCAGGCTAACTGCAACCATCTACTTTTCCTCCTGCAATTGGTTAAGGACTTTATCTCAAGCTACCTTGAACTGCTGCATCTGTAAAATGTGTTTCCTTCTAGAATAATCAGCTTTACTAAAGCAGAGTTGTAACAAAACGAGAGTGGGACTGATAGAGATTTTAAGACTTTATGTCTCTGTTGAGACTATGGATGGGCTGGTGAGCGTTTTGGACTGTTTACCCTGGCTGTTGTTCAGCGAACAAAATCCCTGTACTCATAGGAAATGAGATGGAATTAATTTCGTAGAGTTTAATGAAGTTCATAGGAATTTTGAAATGGAGAATATAGTATGGATAGAGATGAAATTAAAAAAAATATTCTTCTGCTTATTCTAAACCTTCCTCAGAAAGAATTGGCATCTTCTCTGTGAATCCCAGCTTGCGTAGATGGGCTAGGGAAGTTTATCCATGCCCTTAGGTGCTCTTAGTTTTTGCTTTGTCATCAGGCATGAAAGTTTGTTCCTGTTTCTGTTTCTGCGGAGTTCCTTGCTGCCAGTTTGCATGATGCAGCCGCTAACTTAACCAACCTAGAGCTCAAGTGTGCCTTAACATGCTGGTCAGGTTTTTGAGAGGTTTTGTAATTTTAATGAGTGTTGCATAACCTGAAGTAGTTCTATTTTAGTGAAAGTGGTGTTCTCTGCATGAACTTGTGCCTGCAGAAGTAATGTTCTTTGGTGCATGATGCTACAAAATAAAGGGAAAGCTAAAGGCAGCATCTTTTTAAAAAAAAAAAAAAATCTTTAAAGCCTTTCCATTGTCTGCTAGAAGTCTTTATTTTCCTTTGCTAACTGCTGTATTCAAGGGAGCAGAATTTTAGTAGCAGATCCGTGCAAAAACGAGAAGCTCCTCCTGCATGTTTTGCACAGGTAAAGCGTGTCTGGAGTTGAAGGGTTCCTGGTTCAGAGTAGCACATCAGCGTGTAAGTTGGCACATACTTTGCATCTATAAGTTGGCCCGACCTAAGTTTGCACAGGACTTTAATAATATTCAGTTGCTTCCCTCCTTTTCAGCACTCCATAGACTCACGGTTGGTTGTTTTTAAGAGAAGCTCTGAGTGACTGAGCTTGTTTTGGAAATGCTGGTTGACGTGTTCCTATGGCAGCTTCAATGCGAACGCTGTCGGGGCGGGGCTGCCGAGGAGCGCGGGCGGCAGAGCCGGCCCCTGGCACAGCTCCGGGCAGTCTCGTGGTGACCGTGCAACGCCTGGGCCGAGTGACAAAGCGTAAGCTGCGGTCGAGCTCGTAGCCGGGGGGGAGCAGGGAAGCAGATTTGCTTCGCCATCCAGATACGTTGCCGAGCCTTGTCTCTCTTTCCATCCTCTGCCCAACTCATAATGCAGCAGCCGTTCAGCGAGTTGCAAAATGCCAGCAAAACCCGGCCGGAATCCCTAAGTTAGCACAACTGGTGTGGAAGTGCCTTCGGCTGGATCTGAGGATGCAACTGTGAGTTCATGCAGCAGCTGAACACAAGTTAAAACCAGAAATCAGTGAAGGGAAGGTGTTGAGATTTCAAGGCCGTGAATGTGAGTGTGCTTGTTTACTGCACAGAGAAGAGCTAAAGGGATCCAGGAGATCGTTATTATAGTGCGGATTTTCATAGCATCATAGAATGGTTTGGGTTGGAAGGGACCTTTAAAGGTCCTCTAGTCCAACAATTCCTATTTTCACTAAGTTGATGGGGCCATGGACTGTTACGTACCTCCTACGTGCCAGTTCAGCCTCCTGTTAAGGTAACAATTCACTGCTATAGGTTTTATATTTTCACCTATCACCAGAACTTGGCCAACACTTCATCTGTATTTGTCAGGCAGGACTGTGAAGCTCACACTTTGCAGCATCTAATATCCGCCCATGTAAGCTATTTTTCTTTGTGACGGGCAGTCGGTGATCTACTATCAGAATAATGCACGTCGGTATTTTGGAGGATCTTCTGCTGAAGTTTAGTAACTGCAGTCTCTTCAGCCAGGCTCCCATGTCTTACACCGTGTGTTCTAGAATAACAGGACGGCTTTCCTAAATGCATCAGCTCCTGTATGTACTACTAAAATAGGTATGAGCTTTGTGATACAGCTCCCTTCGGAGTCATGGCAACTGTGATGCTGCAGATTTCTCTCACTGACGGAAGTTGTATGTATCTTTTATAAACTAGGCCTGCAAACTTCTGGTTTTTTTTTTTTTTTTTCTAATTTTGACTTTGCAGCTTAAAGTTAAGAAACGTTGGATGTAAGGCTGTTCATGTAATTTGAATTTAATCCCTTATCCATCTCTTGGATTTATTTCAGCTTCTCATTTTTGTTGTTGTCATTGTAAGAACTGCCCTAGATTCTTCTGGAAAACTGTTTTATGCCTTTTAATGTCAGGAGGCAGCTGAGATGATAACCAAAACATGTCAGACATTATCAGCCTTTAAAATGTGACTGAACCTTCATGCTACCTCTTGTGTGGAATTAAAACTAAAATTGGGAATTTTATATAAAAAGCAGGGTCCTAAAATCTGTAGTGCCCTGGCTGATGTAGGGCTGGGGATCTGATGTTGAGGAATGGTTAATGGAGAAACGATGGAAGATTTTCATTCATCCAGTGTTGAGCCATTTGATTCAGATTTACTGCTAGCATCCCTCTTCCCTTTACTCCCCAAGCTGTATTTCAACATTGAGACTTTGAAAAGATTTTTTTTTTTCCCCCTCCAATCTCTCCTTAGAGAGTAGTCTATTAAAACAAATAAATTGCTTTGTTTTGGGGTGTTGGGTTTTGTGTCTTATGTTTTTGATTTGCGTAAGCTCTCCAGGAAAGGGCTGTCTTCATGTGTGTCTCTTAGAGCAATGCTCCAGTACTCAGTGCTGTGGGCTTCGGTGCCGGCAGAGGAGAGCGCTGATTGCGGAACGACGTCGCGGTCTGGGCACTTAACGCTTCTGATTTACTCTCCCGCACATGGGTTGGAGGGGCCTGCTGAAGTGCTCATCTGATGCTTAGTTTCCCTCTTTCCTCAAAAGCTTCCATCGCAACCTCTGTCGCTGCCTCCCGTGGGCACCCGCCCAGCGCCCGTCCTTTCAGCGGCGCTGATGACAAGCTGTCTTTGCAGCCCGCTGGCGCAATTGCTGCGTGTGATACGGTGCATATTTCTCAATATGACAGCTCTAAATCCCTTGTCTGTAAATAAGATACGTTTAAAAGCAAGAAATGCTGTCCCTGCTTAATTGCAGGATTTGCTTTTCTCCTACAGCCACAATGAAGCCCTTTCTCTAAATATTTCCTTTTCCTGACCGGTTTCCACTATACTGGTGTCATTATAATGTTAAGTCAGTTTAGCATTTCTACGATAACCTTTCATTCATATAACGTCTGTAATTCTGCGGGACCCCAAACTGTAATTGGGTTTGTCTTAACGTGAGCTGATGCGCTATGTGAATGCGTGAAATTAATTATTCCTCTCCCCTGAATTGGTTTAGTGGTGGCCTTGGCAGTGTTACGCTAATGGTTGGGCTGGGTGATCTTGAAGGGCTTTGCCAACATGAACGACTCTGTGATGTGTAACTCACTGCATCCATCCTGCCTGAAATCATCATCGCAAATGCCGTCGTGGACAGGTGCCTCGCAATAACAGTGGTAATTTAATAATGCTTTTGAAATGGTCGGAATAGCATCATATTGCAGCCTGTTCGTTAATTAAGACCGGTTATTTATCCCAGGTAGGTATATGAGAGAAATGGAACCCAAACAATGGCACCGGCCAGTTCTCATGCCAGGACTAAACGTATTTACGAAGTAGCAAGAGGACTTTGCTATTATCTGCTTTTCCCATAAATTTTTGTACTTGTGTGTTTGTGTTTGCTTGTGCTTTAACAGAAGGTTTTGTTGAGGTAGGGGTTCTGTCCGTAATGAAGAGGTGAGTCGAGCTTAGAGGACATTTTTGCAGATCTGTAGCTGGCAGATGCCGGGTGTTTAGAGGCCTGTTTGTCTCCTGTCGAATCAGAACAGCTCTGAACATGTTCTTTTAAGGGTTGCTCAAAACAGTTATAACTGCATATACCTTTTTTTTTTTTCCCCTGGTTGGTTTTGTGCCGTGGGTTACATTGATGCTGGCTTTTTCTCCAGCTGGACGGTCTCCTGCAGTAGCTCTCATTGAAGCTGGCACCCCATAGTCTTTGGCTAGGACTTCCCAAGTTTTGTTTTCTTCCTTTATTTTATATTCCTGCTCATCCTTGACACTGATTTTCGAGAAAAGCTGAGAACGAAACAAATATACTTCTGATTCTAAATTCTGCCAGATTAAGAACATTGAACATATTTCCCGAGTGATGTTGTTTAACTTCCAGGGGGATATCTGAATTTCAAGCCTCATCTTTTTGCTCACTGATGTTGCTGGTTCATTGCTTGTGTGTCATTCAGTTGACTTTGCTTTGTCACTTTTCAGTTTCCACTAGCAAATACTCCTACAATAACCAAATACTGGTAATATTTTGAGTTGGAAACATTCTTGAGTGCGTTTGAATTCTGGTTTTGGTCAATCACTAGGATTTTTAATGTATTATATGTAAATTCTGAAGTAAATGGGATTTGATCTGTAAATGTCCTGTCCTATAAAACGTGAGACTGCGTTTGAGTATTGTACGGCTCCGCACCTTTTAAATATTAAGCTTGTAGTGCAAAATTACAGCGGGCGGAACACTTAAATATTCTGGTTCACCTTTTTTTATCCTTTAGCCTGGCTTCTTCCAGACTGCGAGATGAAATGAAGCGTGCGAGTTCAGCGGGTAGTGTCAGACCTCAGGCTTCGTGTGTTGCTGCTTGTTTTACACGCAGCGCGTGTTTGGCTGAGCAGCATGACACGCGTGTGTATACGAACATACAGACGAGCGAGCGTACAAATTGCAGTTTTACGGTCTTGGCTTTTATAGACAGAGAGTATCCTTGACGGTTCCGGTCAGTCCGATCATTGTCTGTGATTGGTAATAACACTTAATTAGAGATCGCATTAATTGGAAATGCTGGCAAGGAGTAGCTCATCCTGGAAAGTGATGTTGCCTTAGAAACCGGTGCAAAGGATTGCACATGAAAAAAAAAAAAAAAAAAAAAAAAAGCCAAACACCAAAAAAACCCAGCAAAGGCATTAGAAGGGATAAGCAATAGCTTCGGGAGTGAAGCAAAAATAGAAACACTAGGCTGATTCATCTGCTGAGGCTGGAAGCCTGCAGATTGGGCATTAAGTGGTGACGTGTTGATGTCGTGATCTTTGGCTGCTCTGGTTGCTGGCACTGGCTGGGCCTGGGCAGCCGTGGTTTACCTGCTAAAGCCCACTGAAGTAGGTAGGGATTTTTTTTGCAGTTTCTTCAGCACGTGGGTATGTCTTCCCTCGGAAAATGCTCGTGTTGAGAGGTACAATGTAAGCATCAAAATGTATCTAAGCAGCTCGGATAAATGACCACAGATGTGTTTAATGTTGGTGTGCTCCATGTGCTCAGCTTCCCTGACAGGCTCATTGGTGTCAGCCGTACCTGTAAGAAAAGAAAGGATTTAGTGATGGTAAGAGGAGGTGAACAGGCAAAGCACAACCTTCCTCCTTGTGAAACAGGCTGCTGCCTCACCACCGAAAGGTTGAGAGGGGCTCCAGGCAGTGGGCGAATCTCTACGTCCAGAAGCTGGACCAGGGTCTGACTTATAGAATCATAGAATCATGGAATCGTTTAGGTTGGAAAAGACCTTAGAGATCACCCAGTCCAACCATTAACCTACACTACCAAGTCCACACTAAACCAATCAAGGGTAGACCAGACTAAACCATGTCCCCAAGTGCCACCTCTGCCCGTTTTTTGAACCCCTCCAGGGATGGGGACTCCCCCACCTCTCTGGGCAGCCTGTTCCAATTCTTGACCACCCTTTCCGTAAAGAAATTTTTCCTAATTTCCAACCTAAACCTCCCCTGGTGCAGCTTAAGCCCATTTCCTCTCGTCCTAAGCCCATTTCCTCTCGTCGACTTGCAAGAGCTTATAATGTTTCACTGCCATTATCTGACACATTCTTAAAAAGAAGGGTGGCAGAGAGCCAAAAGGATTGTGAAACCCCAGATTTGATACTTGAGGAGTACGAAATCTTCCTCAAAGTTGAACTAAGGGTAAGAGCAGTGGATGGGCTTCCTTTCACTGAGTCTCGAACCCTTCTAGCCCAGCTCCTCTTCAGCATGGGCCCTTTCTCATTTGAGTTGTTTTTCAAAATCTGTCCAAGTCCTCTTGTTTTCTGAGCACCCTC